AACTCAAGAAAAAGGGAGAGGGAGAGAGAGAGAGAGAGAATACATTCCCAATAAAATTGGTGAAATTGAAACAAATCAAGAAGTGTTAGAAAGAGAGAGAGAGATATCCATTCCCCCAAAAAATAGTACCAGATACACAATTCAAGAGAGAGAGAGAGAGAAAGAATGACAGAGATTCCAATAAAAAGCACATTCCAAAGATAAAAAAGTAAAGAGGACAAGAAAAGGACAACTCAATAAAGAGAGAGAGAGAGGAGCGAGATACATTCAATAAAAAGTACCAGGTACACAATTCAAGAAAGAGAGAGAGAGAGATACATTCCCAAGTAAAAAAAGTACCAGGTAGAGATAACTCAAGAAAGACAGAGAGAGAGAAGAAAGAGAGACATTCCCAATAAAAAAAAGTACAAGGTACACAACTCAAGAGAGAGAAAGAGAGAGAGAGAAAGAGAGAGAGAGTTGCATTCCCAACTCAAGAAACCAAACGTACACAACTCAATAAGAAAGAGATAGAGAGAGAGAGAGATAGAGAGAGAGAGAGAGAGAGAATTCCAATAAAAAAGTACCAGGTACACAACTCAAGGAAGAAAGAGAGAGAGAGACAGAGAGAGAGAGAGAAAAAGTATTCCCCCAAAAATAGTACCAGGGACACAAAACTCTAGAGAGAGAGAGAGAGAGAGGAGAAAGAATGACATACATTCCCAATAAAAAAAGAGGTACCAATTCAAGACAACTCAAGAAAGAGAGAGAGAGATGGATACATTCCCAAAAATGAAACACAACTCAAGAGGTACACAACTCAAGAGAGAGAGAGAGAGAGAGAAAATGTAACAGAGAAACTCAGAAAATGAGATAGAGAGATACATTCCCAATAAAAAGTACCAGGTACACAACTCAAGAAAGAGAGAGAGAGAGAGAGAGAGAGAGAGAGATTTTCCCAATAAAAAGTACCAGGTACACAACTCAAGTAAGTGAGAGAGAGAGAGAGAGAGAGAGAGAGAGAGAGCGAGAGAGAGAGATACATTCTCAATAAAATGTAACAGGTACACAACTCAAGAAAGAGAGATAGAGAGAGTTGTATATTCCCAATAAAAAGTGCCAGGTACACAACTCAAGAGAGAGAAAGTGAAAGAGAGAAAGAGAGAGAGAGATACTTTCCCAATGAAAAGTACCAGGTACACAACTCAAGAAAGAGTGAGAGAGAGTGTGTTACATTCTCAATAAAAAGTACCAGGTACACAACTCAATGAGAGACAGAGAGAGAGAGAGAGAGAGAGAGAGAGAGAGAGATACTTTCCCAATGAAAAGTACCAGGTACACAACTCAAGGAAGAGAGAAAGAGAGAGAGTGCGAGACAGAGATTGATACATTCCCAATAAAAAGTACCAGGTACACAACTCAAGAAAGAGAGAGAGAATGATACATTCCCAATAAAATCTACTAGGTACACAACTAGGAGAAAGAGAGATAGACAGAGAGAGAGAGATACATTCCAAATAAAAAGTACGAGTTACACAATTCAAGAAATAGAGAGAGAGAGAGAGAGAGAGAGAGAGAGAGTGATACATTGCCAATAAAAGGTACATAGTACACAACTCAAGAGAGAGAGAGAGAGAGATATATATATATACATTCCAATAAAAATAAAAGTAACAACTACACAAATAGAGAGTGAGAGAGAGAGAGAGAGAGATACATTCTCAATAAAATGTAACAGGTACACAACTCAAGAAAGAGAGAGTGTGAGAGAGAGAAAGAGAGAGAGATACTTTCCCAATAAAAAGTACCAGGTACACAACTCAAGAAATTGAGAGAGAGAGATACATTCCCAATAAAATTTACCAGGTAACAACTCAAGAAAGAGAGAGAGAGTGTGTGATACATTCTCAATAAAAAGTACCAAATACACAACTCAATGAGAGACAGTGAGAGAGAGAGAGAGAGATACTTTGCCAATGAAAAGTACCAGGTACACAACTCAAGAAAGTGAGAGAGAGAGAGAGAGTGCGAGAGAGAGAGTGCGAGAGAGAGAGTGATACATTCCCAATAAATGTACCTGTGGCACAACTCAAGATAGAGAGAGAGAGAGAGAGTAATACATTGCCAATAAAAAGAACCAGGTACAAAACTCCAGAGAGAGAGAGAGAGAGAGGAGAGAGAGAGAGAGAGAGAGAGAGAATAAAAAAAGTACCAGGTACACAACTCAAGAAAAAAAAGAGAGTGATACATTCCCAATAAAAACTACCAGGTACACAACTCTAGAAAGAGAGAGAGAGAGAGATACATTCCCAATTAAATGTACCAGGTACACAAAAGAGAGAGAGAGAGAGAGAGAGAGAGAGAGAGAGAGAGAGAGATACATTCCCAATAAAAAGTACCAGGTACACCACTCAAGAAAGAGAGAGATACATTCCCAATAAAAAGTACCAAGTACACAACTCAGGAGAGAGTGAGAGAGAGAGAGAGAGAGAGAGAGATAGAGAGAGAGAGAGAGAATCATCCCCAATAAAATGTACCAGGTACACAATTCAAGAGAGAGAGAGAGAGAGAGAGAGATCTCGTACTATTGATTGGATAAGTCACAGTTCAATGGATTTCATAAAACATCTTTTTCCGGAATGTGGAGTGACAGAGGCAAAATGAACTTGCCCTATTTTGCATAAAATCTAGCGACTAAATGATCAGTCGTCACTTCAAACTAGACCTTCGTCACAGGAGAAATTACATTAATAAATATTTGTTAAAAAATCTGACCTGTTTTGATGCCGAAAGTATGTGATATTTCCCGACATTATAAGACTTAGAAGAACGTGCAATACAAATTCATTTTTTGTAGATTCTTGCCTTCTTTTCACTTATATTCTAAGGGCAATAACTTTAAAGGGGATCTGCCATTCCGATTGGATTTTATAAGAAATTGAAAATACTGAGTTTCCTTTACATTCATTTAAGAACAACATTAAGCCGTTATTTCAATTTTAGTAGGTTCAGTGTAATGTCATGTGTATAACCTTCGTATCGCTTGTAGGGACCAGAGATTGGCCGTATTTGAAGTCACTGGTCTGTTAAATTCAGTTGACCAGGAATATTTGGTGATTGACTTAACAGTAATGGAAATAGTAATTGGAAGCTATGAAGAACATATATACTTGCGCCATATACAACTTCCACAATATTATTTACGCTTTCATATTATTATTTGAAAATACACACGCTCACACACACACATGTATATGTATATATATATATATATATACATATATGTATTTATATATATATATATATATATATATATATATATATATATATATATATATACGTGCCTATGTGTCATAGTTTTTATAAATTAATTGATTCGAATGAGAAGACATTAATTATGAATTAATTTAATTCAGTGAATTTCTTTTAAAGATTAAAATACATGTATCGATTGAATATAACGTTTATATTATTAAGAAATAATATAATGCGTGTTTGTTAAATTACGAAGAATTATGTGGGCGCGCTGTTCTAAAAATGATTTAGCACTTTGTTGAAATAGGCCTAAGCGGAGTGATTGAATATGTAGTCATATGACTGTACAAATCAATCATTTTACATTGCGGGAAATTAGAGAAGATTTACCCCGAGAATAAAATGCATCCTCTTTTGTAAATATTACCAAGCTTTTCGGTTTAGAAATAAGTCTTTAATATATTGTTATTCTACACCAACTCTTCATATTCCCCACGAGTTTCTGTAAATTTCGTTTCACTTGACTTAGATCATGTTTCATATTTTAGTTACATGTTATGTGTCATAAACGCTTATATCAAGATAGATATGAAGCTTGCCACCAACCTAGAAAGTTCTACAAGCATAGTGAGTAAAAGAAAAGACAAGATTCTGCCATCGTTTTATTTTTTTTGTTAATAATTCGATCGCCTGCTTTCTATTCTTCTACTCTTTCACTTGCTAGTCTTTGTCACTTTCTTTTTTCCGTTATCGATTCACTTTCTCGCTTTTTATTCCTGTATAATACTTTGTTAGGATTTGGAAATAATATTTATACATTTCGTTTTCTTTATGTTGTGATATTTTAATTCTTCATGGGAGCCGAAGCAAGTGAGAGTTACTAGCAACTCGATTTATTTGAGAATTAAAAGAGTGGACAGAAATAATTTGTCTATAGTTATTTTGTCTTTTCCCCAATTTCCTTTTAAAATATCGGTCAAAAACCTTTATTCGGAAGCATACATCTGATTTCATATACTTCATACCCTATTATTCTTCATTACAAACATTCTTTTTCAATTTTTGTTCATATTTTCTGCGCAGTTTTTAAAGGTAAAGAATTCATTTTGTCCTGAGTGCTCATTAGGTGTGTTGACCTAATTTAAACGAGTTATATTATTTATTGTATCAGGTTTCAGGGAATATATATTTTAACTTGAGGGTTGGGACATAGAGACTTATATTTTGAACTTGAATAGAGCAAATAAACTGTTCTTTTAATTAATTAACCTAACTATACTGCAATTAAGAAAGGCTTGTGAAATCTATCACTTTCATGTAACTTCTATATTACCTGAATAACTACGTTCGTTCTTTTGTAGAAGCCTCTCCCCATAACATAAAGTACTAAATAACAGTCACATTTACTATGACAGTATTTCAATATCTGTATACTGTAAAGTTCTTATGTGGGATGATTTAATTACAGTTTCTCAAAACCATATTTTCGTAGTGTCGATTTAAAATTCTAGTCGATCTGCGAATAGACTTCTATTGATCTCATATTTCAGCTCTGATCTTATTACTTAGATGTGATTTCTGTTTGAATCTTACACTCGAATGCAATGTTTCTCCTTTAATTGCCTTTGTATATACTTTGCCAAATTTTTTTTTGATGATTTTATAATTTTGGACTGTTATCAGATGTCATGCATTTGGGTTTTCCCGCCAGATTCCTTGTGGTTAAGGAGATTGATTGATAACATATCGCATGAGATACTTTTCCCAATTCTCTTCTCTGATTCAAGTACCGGTGTATTTTCGACAATCTCACTTCTTTCTTACGTCTCCTATTCAATCCTTTTTCAATGTACTCTTGTTGCACATATGTCATTTAATATGATCCCAGTCCTTTGCCTTCATGATTCTCAAAGTTATTTCCTGTAAAACCTATTTCATTATTATTATTATTATTAATATTATTATTATTATTAGTTGTAGTAGTAGTAATATTAATAGTAGAAGACGAAATAGTAACAAATATTTTATGAATAATATTTCATAGTATCCTTTCTTTATCCACAAATATATTTTAAGGCACCTTTAAATGTTTTCATCCGGTATACACTTTTCTCTGTAAATATGTCCGTGTGGACAATCCGTGCGTCGAATTTTTATTCAGTGTAACGTAACAGTGATTATTAAGATTTTTTTCAATACGTCAAATATTTCTCAGCGTTTTTTTTTTATATATCATTTCTTTTCGCGTCTGGTTTGTTTTCAAGTCTCTTTTCACACGTGTTAATAAAAATGTCCAAAATGTGTTAGTCTTTCTAATGAGGGTTTTAGACGATAGAATTTCTCGTCAGCCCGACTGACTCTAACAAAGAAAATTATATCTCTCGCAGTGAAAGTAGCACCTGTTTCAACAAGCGTTCCCGCAGCGCCAAATAAATTCTATGTCTTCTGCTCTCAGACAGTATACTGGCGCCAGACTCCGAACGTGACCAGTGAGGCGTATGACACTACCTTAGGCGTAAAACCTTCGACCACCCGTTGCCTTTTCGACGCATCATTTCATACTGACAAATTTGTAGGGATAGATTGCCTTCATTTTGGTTTCGGACCAAAGAACTTTAGAAATTGTGGCACTAAGCACATGGTTAAAATAGTAGTTGCATTAGATTTACAATACTTCTGAACCTACTTCTCATTACTTTATAAATACTTATGATTGTTTAGTCACCGTAATCGACCTCGTTTTCATTACAGTGTAGACAGATATCAAATATTTAGTTACTTTTCTCTCTCAAAGTGACATACTTAAGTTTCTATTTATTCTAGAACAGGGGGACATTCTTCTTTCAAAATAAAAATTTGCATTCTAATATCTTATTTAAAAGTTGCATTCATTAATATTTCTGTAAGATTCTATATGTGTAGAAAATATGTAACATAAAAAAAAAAATATAATTTTCATATTCTTAAAGTATGTTTCTAATTGTGGAGATTGATCTGTAGTTTTAATTTGCATTCTGTCTGTTTCTAAAAAGTGAATGCTAGTCTGTTTTAAAATATATATGCGTAGAAAGTATTGCTTACCATTTTATTTAGTAATCAGAAAATTATTTAACATTTATTCAAAAGTTAAAAATACAATTTTACTGTGTTTCGACGTGTCTAAACATAATTTAAAAAAGACGCTGTTTTGCTATATTGGCTTACTCAAGAGCTAATTTAAGTAAAAGAAAAGCTTTTACACAAGAAATATGTAACCTTTACTGGAAACAAATAGCTTATACCGTGATAGAGAAAGTTTTCAGGATATACTCAAAAACAAAGATGTATTAAGTCAAAATCCGTGTTCTAATCTGGATCTATTTAACATATAGAGCTAGTCGATCCTATAATAAGAAAATGGTATATGAGGTTTTATTATTATAAGTCAAAATCCTAAAACTGCAAAATACGCAGATGGATTGTGCTGATGGCAGCCTGAGAATGAAACTTAAAGAAGGATTAGGCAAGACATTAAAGGCACAGAAGAAGAAATGACTATTAATGTCAAAAGAGAGACGAGATAACGGTCAGCTAACTAGAGACTGTATCTCAATAAATCATTTATGAGATGCCGAAGAACTACTCCACTATAAATACCAAGAAAAATCATGGCTCAAATCAAATCATGAAACGAGGTTAAGACGAATGGAACTAATTCCTTGCTCGGTAAGGAGGTACATGCGCATGTGCCATCTGACCGTCATACAAGTAAAGGTGTAAAGGGGATCAAATTCTTTGGAACGAATCTCTTGCCCGTTAAGGGAAGATATAACCGGCTGTGGTCGCCGGACCCGCCTGTAGCGTTTGTAAGTATAAAAATTACTCTGAACATAGAAATTCAATGTGGCCAATGAAAAAAGAAAAGAATGTGGTCAATTAGAAAACATATACCAGGAAACGAACGGGTTAACTGTTAATATTTTAGGCGTATTTAAAACGAGGTGGGTAAACAATGGAGAAAAATGAAAGAGGAGTAAAACTAAAACAAGGAGGAATTGAGTTATTGGATATTGTCAACTATCTTAAATTTGACTTTTACCGTTAAACTGAAAGGAAATCCTTTTAACTCATCCATCATAGTTGTTTATGCACCGACAGTAAAAATGTACAGAAGAAGAAACTGAAAAGTTTTACTCAAGACTAAATAGCACCCAAACTTATTGAGATAGCGAAAGATGAAAAAAGATTAAACAAAGTATTATGAAACAGAAAGATTTCGGTCGAAAC